CTCTCCCTCTCCCTCCCTCCCTCCCTCCCTCCTCTCCCCCTCTCCTTCTCCCCCTCTCCTTCTCCCCCTCTCCTTCTCCTTCTCCCTCTCCTTCTTCCTCTCTCTCTCCCTCTCTCGTCTCCCTCTCCGCTCCTTCCCAATCACCTTCGGCGTGGCTGCCTCCCCGGAGATGCTCATTGCGTAGTCATGGCCGGTTCATGCGAATCGCAAAATTGCGGACGGAGCACAAGTGGCTCTCGGTGATGACTCTTGAAACAGAGTGCGAGGTGAGCGCTGAATGACTCTCGGAAGCGTCGCGTCGTTCTCTCCGTCGCCCCGCCAGCTCCAACGGGATTATTTCCCCGCACGAGACCCGGCGTGGGGATTGGCGTCGGAGGGAGGTGGCGAGGGTCGGGATCGGGCTGCGGGTCCCGTCGGGGTCCGGGACGGCAGCCGGGACGCGCTGGGTTGATATTGATCAAGGAGGCGAATTAGTGATAGCAGGGGCGAGCTATGAATTTAGTGGTGACAGTCGAGCTGTTGTGGTGACAGTGCTGATGAGAATTTCGATACTGTAAATGCGGTGAATTAAAGGTATAGTGAATCCAGGTTGAAATAATGGAGGACGCAAGAATAGTGTCATTATGAATTACACTGTTGCGGAGGCGGTGAATGCATTGTGACGATGGCAGTGCGCAATGCTGCTTGCACTGTTTACTTTGTCAATACTCATCTATAGTCCCTCTTTGTGTACTCGACTCCAGATTAGAGGCCGCAGTTCGCTGTTGCCGGCGAGTCGTGTTGTCTTTCCATCATCATTAACTCCGCCTGTCATCAGCGCTAAAGCTGCTGCCACCATCAACGTCACGGGCATTAGCATTATCGCCGTCTGCCGAGCATGGCGGTTGACGTCCGAGGCACAGGGGACACTCCTGCATGGTGAATGGCTTAAGCGAGTTTGTGTTTTGGAGTATGCAAAGGCATGTCAAAAATTCTCCTCGTGTCAAATCAGTCACTTGCAGAATCAATCAAATAGCTGTCAGGTCGGTCGTGTAAAAATCGGGTCTGGGTCTGCGAGGTCCATGACTTCCTCCTCCCTGTGTGGTCATACTTGCCATCGACAGCTTCCATGACGCTTAACAAGTATTGGTAAAACGTTTTTCATACGGGAATTGTCCGCCCTAAAAGCCTTCCGGGGGAGCCGAGCGACCATTGCTTCACTTGGACGCGGAATGCCGTCTCATCTGTAGGGTGCCCTTAAGAGCCAGAATCCCAGGCACGTAGAGGGGCTTCTGAGCCCTCTGGTCTCGGACGAGAGCGTTACTGGCCTGCCGTCTGTCCCTACCTGATGCACCACGGGAGGAACTGTTTAAGAGACGGGAAACGGGCGCCGCGGCCGGGATGGCCTCTTCCCCGCGTGAGATGTCCCAAACAAGGCCAGATGCGCGGGCGTTTGCATGATGCCTTGGCTGTTGGGAGATCTTTGCCGCGAAGGGAAAGACCCTCAACGACCGCATTGCTCACGACCATGATACAGAATGGAAATGTTCAGTTTTACGAAGGTTCTCACACGCGCGGCGATCAGATATTATCCACAGCATTGTGCCAGCTGGAATGGCCCGTAATTCGTTATTTTTAGCGCCGCCTTGAGGTACACAAGCAATCGTGAACAGAGCGAATAGCGCGAAACCGACCGTCTGCAGTCTCGATGGCACATTCTCGTCTCTCATAAGAAGCAGAGTAGCTTTAGGCTCTGCAGGACAATGGGATCCGGCGGCAAGGGTCGCCCGAGAGGGAGCGAGCGGCCGGAGCCAAGTATGGCAGGAAGAGCGGCGGTACTTGGGCTCCGACGCTCCGTCCTTTTCGGTGGCGTGTTTGCTCCTTCGGGCGTCGGGGGCGGGAGCGCAGATGGTTTATTATTTCGCTTTTGTTTTAAGATCGCGTTTATTCTGTGTGCGTAATATTTGTTGTATCGTGTGACGGTGATTAAATCCCGCGGACTCGGCAGCTATTAGCAAATGGTTTTGATATACGCGATTTAATATGTTTAACGCTTTGTGATTTGGTAGATGATATGCGTTGCATATTGCCTCGCTATATGCTAATTTTGGAACAGCTGATTCCCGAATATTAGCATGTGTCGAAATTCTAGTGGTGGTTGAATTTTAATTTTTACTTGGATAAACTGGAAAAATCTAATTTCTCGGTTATGTTTGCAGTATGATTCTGAATGGCTTTTTAAGACCCACAGAAGGTTTTTTGTAGTATTGGTACAAAAAAGGTGTTACTTTTCCGTCTTTCCTTCTTATGCTAATTTAGTTTGACAGATTACTCGCAACTTGAACGATCAAAGTAACCACTATCTTACTTCAGAAGTCCCCACGAAGAATGCTCGCTTTTATTAAACATTTTCTAAACCCGTTCGCCTTTGCCAGAATGTTCTGTTGTTGTTGTTTTTCTTTCTTTTATTGCTAGTAAGTATGTTTATTCTGAGAATTAGAATGTTAAACCGCGATAACCAAAATGCGCAACACCCACAATTATAATGCTGGCATCCAAAATTACCGTGCTTTTCAAGCACTATTAAAA